GTGTGTGTGTGTGTGTGTACCCATATGTAATCTTCTGTATTGTTCCAGGTTGCAGAGAACTTGGTGCAGCGTGACGGGGATTTCCTGATCCGTGATTCGCTGTCCAGTCCAGGAAGTTATGTTCTGACCTCCCAATGGCGAAATACTGCCCAGCACTTTAAAATCAACAAGAAGGTACAGTAATACTGTATTCATATTATAATGAATTTACAGACTACTGACTAACACTTGAAGGTGTGTAATGTTATACTTTGGTATGGTGGTGGGAATCCTTTGCGACACCAATATCTCACACAAATGTTATTTTATTGACTTTTACTTAACCAGGAAAGGTTCACTGAAATTACACATTTCCTTTAAGTGTCTCTGCACTCCATCTACTGATTTCCTGCAAACTTTGACTTGGGATGGTCTTAGTAGTTCATAATATATTAAAAAGGTCCAAGATTAAAGCTACTTTAAGTGATTTCTAACCACAACAGGGCAGAGAGACTCATGGGAATCCCAGTGCCATTCTTATTCTCTGCACTTGATCACTGGTGTTTAGTCCGTTAACTCCTGAAACATATCCTCAGTTTTATATCAATAAGGATTTATAATTGTGAAACAAGAAGCTGAACTCTCCAGACTGGGATGTTGATTCTCAGTGGGATCATCAACTATTTTACATTACAATATTTCTTAATGGAGCTTTAATTTATCAGCATTTCCAATTATTTTGTAAACGTCGTCAAACTTTTGAATAATGTAGCTGGAGACACCAAAACATGTATGTTTCACAAAATTAAGAGGATTTTTTTTCCACAATTTGTTTCAATATTTGATACTTTCTTATAATTGTTGAAAAGTTAAGGTCACTGTTTGATTGAACTGGTCACATATGCAACCTGGGTTGCAAGTGTGCTTCATTTTGAAGGTTCAGAGATAAAAAAAGTAAAAAATGTTTTTTACATCTTTCCTTCAGGTTGTGATGTTGAATGAAGCCTACTCCAGAGTCGAGTACCGGCTGGAAAGGGAAGGATTTGACAGTGTCCCTGCACTTATAAGATACTACGTCGGCAACAGAAAACCTGTCTCCCAGGTGGGTTTGGTCAGATTTTTTACACAAAATATCTTTATAGCATGTTTATGAAAGTTAGTATGTTTTCCTAATTTGAAAACATAAAGCAAGCACAAATACTCTTATGTGTAATACTTTCTTCCTCTGCTGACATAATTGGATGCCAAATGGCATTCAAACAAATAGTTGTGATTGAACAAAATAATAAAATTCTTAACCGCCTTTCTTACTGAAGTTAATTTGTGCCCTAACTCAGCAAGTATACCTTTTTGAAGTGTTATCCCGTTTCATAGAGAAAACTTGTTGACTGTAGTTTTCTTCTCTCTGTGTATTTAAGGTGGTAGGAGCCATTATCTTCCAGCCAATTAACAGAGGGCTGCCGCTACGTTGCTTGGAAGAAAAGTACGGGTTGTCCAACAATCACCGCGATCGGCTCATGGCGCAGGAGAGGCGGAGTCAGAAGCGCCTCAGCCTCAACATCACCAACGGGCACACTCACGACAACACACAAGCCGTGCACGACAGCACACACTGCCGGGACAACGGCGTGGGCCGAGGCAGCCAGCTCAGGTACAACTAAAAACCTGCACAAACACACTGATTAACACCAAGGCACCAATATTCCTCACTGGTTGGAGTAATGTCTGTGTTTGTTGTTTCTAGATGATCACATATTCAGCATGTGTAATTTGTTATATTTGACAAATACTGTTAAAGATGGCTTTTAGCTGCAAGCAACACAAGCCTTTTACTGAATGTGGGTTGTGGCATGTGGGCTGCAGAACAAATAACATGCTGTCAGCTGTATTTAAATAATGGAGACCTACCTTTTACTCAATCGTCCTCTCTCTTTGTTTCTCTTTCTCTCACACTCTGAAAGACTTAAATCAACCCTTTAAATCCCTTCCTGCTTTTAAGCTTTTACCATGTAGCCTCGAGCTGTTAACATTCATCATGCAGGCAACAGGCTGTATATACGACATGTTCCATATGTATCCGAGGTCCTCTATAAATAAAGACGTGGTGTGTGACTTTCTGTAATTTCACCTTGCATAGGAGCACATGGAGCATAATGTATGGAGTCCATATCTCTCTGAGTAAAGAGACAGAGTGGGAGAGAGGAAAGGATAAATATGCCCTCCAGAATAGGACAGAACAAAGAGACAGAGAAGAAAAGAAAGAAAAAGCTTTGTATGAAGAACAAAAAACTGCACTGACGTCTTCTTTCTTTGTTCCCTTTTGATTCATATTTGAAATAGCTTTGATTTATTTTCCTTTATTCACGTTTATGTGCAAATATATGTATTGATATTGGTTTTCGTCATCCCCTTTCCCTCAGGTCGAAGGATCGCTGTGGCAGCCAACCAGCGAGTCTCAATCAGGTCCAAGAGAGGCGACGCCCCCTCAAGGCGCACCAATCAGAAAGCTACCTGCCTCTTGGTAAGTAAAAGGGAGATTCTTAAGGCCTTAGTGTGTTTCCGATTGTCTAAAAGCACCTAAAACCCTGGCCAGGTGTGAAGAGGTTTAAAAGTAAGGCAGGGTTTGAACTTTTTTTTCTTTTATTCTTCACGCAGCAACGCAGCACTGAATGTCTTTACGAAGAGACTGTTCAACAGTGTGCACCACTTTGTGTGATATATTGTGTATCACAGGCAGTCTTTGAGTTCGATTATTTGGTATAAACAAGGCTTGTTTGTTTGAAGCACACTGAAGCCTCTTTATTGTACATGATTTTTATGGAACAAATCTAGTTTAGATGCTAAAATCAGAAAAACAAAGTGGTCTGTGTGTTAAGACTAATTTCTCTCACTCTTTTCATTTCTTCTCTTCCCCGTGTCCACCTCTCATCTTCTCCTCATCCTCTTTATTTTCTGTCGCCTCCCCAGGATCTAAACCTCAGCCCCAGCAGCCTCCCGACTCTCTCCTCCCGAGCCCTCACCCCAAGTCTCCAGTCTTTCGGACGGGCAGTGAGCCGGCACTGAGCCCCTCTGTCCCACGGAGATCTGCAGAGCTTCTGGCAGGTCAGTAACAGCTTCATTGTGTTCAGTATTATACGACATCCTATTGCGCATTAGCCCCTGCACAGTCAGTACCGATATAGTATATACATATCTACATAATACTGAATGTATAGCGCGTTGTTGTTGTCAAATAAATCAGAAATACTGTCCTAATGACAATAATAACAATAATAATAATAATCAGACATTTTATTTGTGCAGTACTGCGCAGTACATACAGCATGAATGGAATAAAGTGTGCTTCACAAGATGTGCAAAACAGACCGATACAAAAAGCAGAAACATTAAACAAAACAAAACAATAAAAACACAAGAAAACTATAAATAAATAATACATTTAGTACAGTATAAGCAAAGTAAGAAGAAAAGCGTTGTCGTTGCTGTTTTATCATCTTATTAGGTCCCAACAGCCACAGACATATCTCTGATTTGTTCGACTCCAATAATAAAGCTGTTCTGCATGCTAAGGGCCAATAAAAACCCTGTGGGGCTTTTGAAATTAGTCGGTCCAACCTGTAAGTGCACTCTGCTTATTTGCTTCTGCCATTGTTTGCATGTGAATAGGAAATTAAATTTAACCCTGTCCTCATGTGCTTTTACGCATTCTTTGGTTCTCAGTTTGATTTGATTCAAATGTATCCACAGAAGTAAATAAAAACCAGACTTTGGCCTTATGTCGTTCTCTGTCACAAGAATGAGATAAGAAATGTTTTTAATGACAGTATTGTTCACGTGTTTCCAGGCCAGCCCATCCGGGGCTCTGACAGCCAGCTATGTCCTAAACCGCCCCCCAAACCCAGCAAGGTCCCGCTGGCTCGACTGCCTCGCTCCCCCTGCCTTCAGCCACTGGCTCTCCCCTCCAGCTCCTCCAACCTCACAGACTCCTCCTCCACCTCCCCCAGGCTAACTGCACCCCACCTGGACTCCACATGTGTGGAAACTCCTGGTTCTACATGGAGGAGTGGAGGTAACTTTTATTTTTTAAATGCATCCACATGATTTAAAATAGGAGACAATACACAACTATTAATCCTGTGACTTGAAGTAAACTGATGTGATTTGATGTTATTCCTCAGCCACCACAGGCCCTCCCGTACCTCCAGTGAAACCCCTGAAGATTAAGCACCAGCTCCTGCCTGCAGACTCTCCTGCTGAACTGGTTCAGTATCCTGATTCAGAAGCAATAGCAGGATGGACTGAACGCCTGCAGCCGAGCCCTGCAGACCAGAGGTCCTGCAGCCCGCTGCAGTGGGAGGAATCAAATTCACAGAACGCCTTCACAGACAACGCCCTCGAACCTTCACTCTGCAGCTACGTGGAGCGACTGAGGAGAGAGGGGGAGGGAGGGAGAGAGCTGGAGGAGGAGGGGGAAGAGAAGGGAGCCAGGAGGGAGGAGAGGACTGACAGAAGCTTCCTATCCAATCATGCCATCGCTGCCTTAGAAAACACCAGCGAGGAAGAGGAGGAGGAGGAAGACAAGAGGCGGGATAGAGAGAGGAATGCTTTCCAGCGGCCGGTCGTGGAGACGGAGTCGACCTTCCGGCCGGCAGAGTTTGGATCTCGACTTCTACCGCCGGAAAACAAACCGCTGGAGATGGTTGTTCTGAAGAGAGCGAAGGAGCTGCTGCTCAGCCACAATCACCACAGTATAGCCAGACACCTGCTGATGGCCGACTGCCAGGTACACACACACATGAACACACACACTAATGAACGGATTAGATGGAAAAAGAAGATAATATAAATTTTATATTTTATACTGGTGAATTTTAGGGGATAATTTAGATGGATTGTAATATAATTAATCAATTATTTTTATTAATAGGAATTGACAGCCATTAATGTAGTTCCTCTCTACGTGATATGCAGAGAGATACTCGGAGTGACTTCAGAGCTTAAAGGTCAGATGGGCGTTGTCCTCACGTCTGGAGCTGGTGACGTGCCACACGTCCGACAGCTGAGCTGGACCTGATGGAAAGGTACAATTGTAATAGCACATCTGTACACACTCAAACACCCACAGCAGCCACAGATGTTTCATCACAGACACTTTTTATTAACGCCCCACTACTGTAGCTGAGGTCATCATTTCCAGGAAGTTCCCCATCCCCATAAAAAAACTCATTTACAAACTTCAAGCTCACAATTAACAGACACTTTCTTTCCACAACACCATTCTTGTGTTTGTAATGCTAAACGTGAACTAATACCCAGCAAGGCGCTAAGCTTAGCTTAGCATAAAGACAGGAAGCCTGGCTCTGTCCAAAGGTAGTCACATATTTACTAAATGTTCCTTTAACTTTAAACCACCTGCAGATCAATGTAGAGTCACAAGAATGGACTTAAAGGAATAAGAAAGAATATATTTATGTTAACATTCTGTTGTTACAATTTTGTGTATTTTTTTGGGAAATATGGAACTTTCAGCTCTAAAATGTTTTAATATTAAGGCATTTAGTAAGCCAAAAGGGTTGGAAACCACTGGTTTAACCCAAAGCTGGTACACCAGCCTGCAACAAACACTGAAATGACTCAGTAGTGATTCATAACCTGCTGATTCATTGTAAAACCGATCCTGTTTGAGACCTGCCCTGTAATGAAAATAAATCAGTCACTTCTGTTCTGTGAAACCAACCAGAATAGCGACTAAAAAGAATCAGATTAGAGACGCTGCCATTGGTTGGGGGTGTAATAACACCGCTCCTCGTCTCACAGGCACCACACCATTGGCGATAGGCGTTGCTGTGGATATTCTGGGATTGTACAGGCAGCGTAGGAGCCGGGCGTCCACCTTGAAATCGCATCATCCTGGTGGCGTTGGAGCTCAAGGACACGGTGGGCCGCCTGTTCGCTTCACGGCCCTGATGAAAGCTTCTGGACGCATGCCCGCAGGTAACACA